CTTCTTGCGTAGAATATTCTTAGCTATTATAGGCGATGCAAAGCCAACCTTTATTAACCGAGGACGAGATGTACCTGCAGCACCAAGTCTGGTCATATTGAGGCGGTATCCATTAGGAGACGGTTCGATGTGGTTGATTATGTCTGTTACGGTATTAGAATCATTGTTGCCTTCTGGAAGATCTTTCAGGATAATATCGTGAGATCGTCTGAGTATTTCCAAAGTTTCAGTCGGAGATGATGGGATGTTGTTAGCGTTGGTATTCAACGATCTATAATTTATCAGTGCATTGGTCAGTCTAGATTCAACGTTCGAAATGTTGGATAAGATAGATGCTTGCGCACTTTGGAGTTGCTGAATACTAGCTTCACAATTAGAGATCAGTTCGTCATGGCGAACAATAGAAGCCGAATGCTGTTGTAGCAATGACATACAATGGGAGACATCCTTGCTTAGTTGTGTTTGTGAGTTTTTGATGTCTTTAATGTCATTGGCCGTGGTCTACAACTGACACAAAATGAATATTAGAGGATCGAAAGCAGTCGCTTTGTCAGACCGATGAGGGGATACCGCTGGTCGAGCACTAGTTGATGAGGACGACGAGTTGCTACGAATAACTCTACCATGTCTACAGTATGCTGAACAAACCCATTTGTTGTCACCGTTTTCGGCGAAATAGCCGATCTCTTTAGTGGTCAAGTTAATGTGTGCCAATTAATTTGGAACATGTGGCGCAAGCTTGGTTCATTGTTAATTATCAACAAGTTATAGGAAAGGAGAGGGTACAGGAAGACGCACTTCACTCTATTGGGTCGATAATAGAGACTCACACACAAAGAGGTAGACCACGGATAGGATAAGGAATAGAAATAATGAAAGGAATCGTCTTAGAGCCTCCGTGAGTAGACCACAGAACAACGAAGAAATGTTACATTCAGCCCACAATAGCTATCAGTCAGCTACTTTACTACTTCGTTATCAGGTGATACACAAAAATGGGGGATTCTGGTTCAAGGTCAACAAAAATGTTGCACCAATGGTCACTCGGCAGAAGAAAATTGAATTGTTTTGTAGTATATGAGCACAACATTCCAAGCCAATGAAACTACTCACAAACTGTTCCTGACGTGTGGGAGACTCACAACAAGATTCAAAATAATTATAAGCCGGTTATACACTTTGAAACCGTAATCAAATCGAAAGAGAAGCAAAACACGACTGTACACTACGAAGGTTGGTTAACTATATAACTATTATAATTATTATGAAAAATCTGGTAACTCTAGTAATCTTACAGTTGTTAACGATAACTATTAGTTCTTTTTGAAATAATTTGCCTTCATAACTAATTCTAACAATTTTTCCAAGCAAAAGATCCTCACCAGAAATGAAAATATTTGGACCGTAAATATTATTGATGTGTTCAAACAATATAAAATTTATATAAAAATATATTCTCAAGGATAGATTCTTTTACTGTTCTCAAAATTTCAAATAGCTAGGATATATGGATGATTTTATAATAGCCTGTGTTATCGACGCTGCTGCTTTTACAGATGAGTGACTACATACTTATTGGTCAAAACAGCAAAAATATGTTAATAACACATGTCGTTATAAAATCTTCCATCATATATCAGTAAATGCCCAATATATAATTATGCAAAAGTCTCAGATTTATGGAAAGAGTCGGCAACGTCGCATGCGACGTTCGTGGACAATCTGGTAACCATGTGGCATCCAGAAAAAATGGCGATAGCTGACATAAATCGACCGCGTTGCCCTATGGATAGCACCACAAAACATATACACTGAAGAAGGTTTAATTCCATGCTATTCAATGGCGACACGGTGACTTGTGTGGTTGACAGCGGCCATTTTTTGAGAGTGCGACATGGTTGCCAGATTGTACATTAATATCCCGCAACGTTGCGAGCTCTACATATAAATCTTAGATTGCTATACTTTTATATACAGGGTGACTTTGAAGTTGAGTCATTAATTTTCAGATAATGATTGTAGAAGGAAGATAAACCAAAATATGTGTGTAAAAATAAAAAAAAAATTAAAAAAAAATGTTTACCTTGTTTTATAAAGTATCCTCCCGACAAGTATTTCAGTGCGGACCTGTATTTGATCGTGAGGTCTCCTGTGAGGTCTTAAGTCACTTGATTCACGAGCCCGTTGTACTACATTAACAAAGGCACGAGGGATTGGTTGCACTCGATTGGGAAACCGATCCGCATAAACATGTGCCATTTTTTATTTCGTTTGAGCCACGCAACAGACACTATTCACACGCCTTACCGACTGACACTAACTGTATGTATAACTGAACTGAAGAAAATAATTGTAAAACATCGTTCCAAATTCTTTCGCTTTTTTGTTTCTGATGCGATGAACCGAGGCGGATTATATCCGTTGTTGCCAAACACGAACACATGATATTACGAGTATTATTGAACAGGGCGGTACTCAACCTTCCAAAGGGCTATAACTTTGTTACTTTAATTTTACCAGAAAAATGGTAAAGGAAAAAAACATTTCTTTTGATCAGATCTACTCACTGTTAAAATAAATGACTCAACTTCGAAGTATATAGAAATTTGGTGGGATATGGGAGATCTTATAACAGCATGTGCTATCAACATTTTGCGCTATCTTGACGAATAAGAGCTATGTTAAAATAGCATCGTCAATAACATAAGCTGCTATAAGATCACTACTTACTAATCTGGAAACGTTCAAAAGAAAAAACATATATTGCAAATACCTAAATATATATGCATTATATAAATCTGACACATTTTGCTACAAACAAATCAGTGTTAACATCATTATGGTCCAGATGTTTTCATTCCCCAGCCTTTGTTGGCACGTGCTTAATAAGAAATTAGGAAACAATTGAATTGTGTTGATATGTTACTACAATTTCAGATTTCTTTTTTTATTAGAGCAATAATATTATTGTCCATGGGTACCCACAGGAATTTTTCTCATCAAGAGATAACTTTTTGTGAAATTGTACCTGCCCCAAAATTTTTTGATAAGCAGAGTCAGCAATTTTCTCAGTAGGGGACAAATCCTATAATTTCTCAAAGTTTTACACAAAAACATGCTAAATGAGCAAACGTTAAAGTCAAAGCGGATTCCCAGAAGAGGCCATGGCCCTTCTGACACCAGCATGTGGGCACCCATGTAATTGTTCAATAACAACATGTGGCGTCGATTTCATTCCAACTACAAGTGACTTTTGCATATCAACCCTGCTGCTCTGAAAATAGCTGATTTAAAATGAAGTATGGAAAAAAGCAGTACAAATCATCACTGGTTATCGAGTCATATAAAAACTTACAAATGTTATGGTCTGCAAAAATCCTTCAGAGCTGTGCCTTTTGGTTAGATCAGAAGTAATCTTCGAGATTCTGATAGTTCTCAGGACCTTAAGGGTTGACAACGGCAGCTGTTGAACTTCTCGTAGCGCACCACTGTTCAAAAGTGATGAGATACAAACAGCTACGATCTTGAAATATTACATTTCTCAAATGAGGATCTGCCAGAAGCCTGGCTATTGACTGGGATCATTTGGATCAACTTAAAAAAAGAAATAGTTTTGATTTTGGAGTTTTTTTTTTCTATTCGTCATTGTCTGTCAGAGCGGTCCGTAGTACCTTTGCTCTAGGTTAATTGGAGTTTGTCTTATAGTATTTACAAATATATTACAGCTTTAGCTACAACACATTTTTAAACTTCACAACTCTGAACAAAAGGCATGTCTCAAATAACATAATAGAGACTTTATTCAATTTAAAATGAAATCTTTATGATACGCAAAACGAAAATGGCTTGCTGAAAAGGTAAGGTTATTTGTGCAAAGTATAGGAAGAAACCCGCCGGAAATTTAAATCTACACGCATTATTGGTTGCATATGTTTTGTGAGATTGTGAGGACAAATAATTGTCCTTGAATGTAGTTTTTATCTCTGAGATCGCATCTGGATGATTATGTGTATTGGTCTGCATGTGTATAAAATCAGTGATATTTGCTGTGAGAGAAAATCATTACTGAATATGCTGCCAATGAAGTACATCTATTGGCTGTGCCCGACGGGTTATTTTTATATTGTGCTTTCCGAAGAGAGGTTATGTTCAAAGTTATAAATTACGAAAAACTGAGGAGAATTACGGGAAATCATCACCGCGCCCGCGTTGTGTGTAATTACTGTTAGCATGTATATGGCTTGTAATTCGACAGTGTACATTGAATATAATTATTTCTTATCTCTCTCTCATTTTTGAAATTCAGCAAATTTGTATATGTAATTATCAGGATGGATAAGAAAAAGAAAATTAAGTGTATTTGAGACAAAAACCCAATGTAATTATCATCAATACATACAACTTACATCTTAGACCTCCTGTAATGCCTTCTCAGAAGCAGATTTTACATCACATCAGAGCCAAAGATTGATAACAAGCCCATGACGATTAGGCAACACGTACAACTAAGTGCTAAGATAACATCTTGTAGAGAAACCTACATAATGTCAAAAAAAACAGCATAATGTCAAAAAAATCGGCAAAATATCACTTTTCAAGATACGTGATACCCGTGCGGCACTGTTTCCCATTGACAGTGACATAAATCAACTGTGTTGTCCTATGGATAGCACGTGATTAAACCTTCTTAACTGTTTATGTTTTGTCACGTTTTGTGCTGTCACTTGTCGTTCGGTGTTCTATACTGACATTTTGAGCAACAGTCCTAGATTTTTTGATAGTACTTACAGAAAAATTAAAATGTCCAGCAATCCAAAGAAAAAAGCTGAAATATTAAACGCCTTTCAAGCTTTACGTCAAGAACAGAGGGCACTTTCGAGCAAATTATCTGAAATTGAACAAGATCTTAATGAACACAAGTGAGTTGATGTGTGGGTTCAGAAATGTGAAAGAAAATATTCTTACCATATAAGGAAATTTAAAAATGCCTCATTTTCAGGATGGTTATCGACACATTGAAAAACGTAAATGAAGACAGGAGGTGTTTTCGGCTTGTAGGAGGTATTTTAACAGAGCGAAAAGTGAAAGATGTATTACCTGCATTGCTTACAAATCAACTAAAACTAATAGAGCTCATAGCAAAACTAAATGAACAAATACTGAAGAAAGGACAGGAGATAAATGAATATAGGGAAAAACACAATATAAACTTTGTTGGTTTAGATACTCCCAAAGCTGAAGAGCCACAAGCTGCCACACCTTCAGAACCAAGAGGAAATGTCTTAGTGTCTTAATCTATATCAAATAGATTTCACTTCTTTTTTAAATTCAATTTTCATTATACTCGTATAGTTCATTTAAAATTTTTTTGGCACAATTGAACTTAGCGAGTTATAACTGCTAGGTTGTGGTAAAACATTTGTTTTTTACATTGTGTGAATGATACCATGCCATTGCAGATCTCAATGTTATCAACAGACTCTGTGAAAGTTTTATTATCGGAGCACAGATTTTGCTTTTTTCAGTTCACTAAATTGATGAATTATACATTTTTGGATTATGTGTGCTAGGCCCACAATATGGTGAGATACCGACATCTCATGCATGAGAAAGAGTCATCCATAGGACATATATTTTCATTTTTGTATTACTTACTAACTCAACAAAAATATAGAAGTTTTATGTTGCATTATTTTTTTTTTACCAACTCCTTTAAATAATGTAGGGTTTAAATGCATGCATGTTTTATACGATTTCTGGTAGTTTGATGCTACAGGGTGGCACAGAGGAAACGCATGATTTTCACGTAAGCATAACATTTTTTATGTTTAAGATCAGTTTGTTTTAACTACAGCTAAATGAAGTAATAATAGTGCACTTTTAAATTAATTATGGTAAATTATGTCACTGAAGTGTCGCCCTTCTTCGCGCTCGCACATCTCCAACCGCTATTGAAAGTTGTGCATTACACGTAGGATAATTTCTTGTGGTATTCGTGCGAGTTCTTGACGAATACCAATTTTCAGTTCCTGTAACGTACGGGGTTTGTGAGGGTACACTTTAGCCTCAAGGTAACCTCACAAAAAGAAGTCACACGGAGACATATCTGGGAAGCGTGAAGACCAAGGAACATCGCCGAATCGGGAAATCACATGTTCAGGAAACATTTGTCGAACACATTCCATTGATGCTCCCGCCGTGTGAGCCGTGGCACCGTCTTGTTGGAAGTATAGTTCTCCCATGTTTATTTGTTGCCGTTGAAGTTCGGGTAACAAAAAATTTTGTAACATGTGAACATAACGTGCTGAAGTAACTGTTAATGATCTTTCTTCCTCCTCAAAAAAGTAAGTACCAATGATACCTAATTTACTAATTCCGCACCACACAGTCAATCTTTCACTAGGCAAAGGTCGTTGGTGTCGCTCTCGTGGATTTTCAGCAGACCAATACCTACAGTTCTGCTTGTTTATATATCCCGTTAAAATGGAAGTGTGCTTCGTCACTCATCATTATGACGACGTTAGGATCATCAGCAAAAATGGTCAGCATTCTCGCACAAAACTGTCTACGCTGTGCAAAATCACATTCCGTTAGCGCTTGCACAATCATTATCTTATAGGGATGAAATTGTAAATCGTGCAGAATGCGTTGTAACGATCGACGGGACATACGCAGAGGTGGAGCTTGTCGCCTACTGGACCGTTGAGGACTATCAAGCACCGCTCTTCTCACTATTTCCATATTGCCTGGTGTTCAAACGGTACGAGAAAGGCCAGGTGGCTTCCTCTTCATTACAGATCCAGTAGTTCGAAATGCCTCAACCCATCGGAGTATCGTATTTCGATCTGGAATTGACCCTTGGCGTACAACATTGAACTGGCGACGGAATAAACGTTGCACAGTAACTACAGAACCATTGTTTCGGAAAAATTGCTCGACGGCAAACACACGATGTTCAGTTGTCCACGGTGCCATGGCTAAAACTGCATTGCCTGTGTTATCTGCTGGCGGCGAGGCAAGGTCAACCCACTTCTCTTTGCGAAATACTATTCACTCAGAAAACATGCGTTTTCTCTGCGCCACCCTGTATAAGAGGTTTTAGTCTTATTTCAAAAATGAATAAAAAAATGCTGGGCCTAAAATATATCCACATAAATTGAGTAATTGTGGTTACAGCTCGCGATACAGATTTATAGATTTCTGTTGCTTCGCGTCAAGTATTAATTTGTCGACGTTAGGTGACGCTTCGGCGCATGTAAAAGATTTCATTTCATTATCGAATTAGTTTTAATGTACATACATCAGATGGCGCAGCACTACGGTTTCTGTAGCGGCATCTGTTGCATAGATATTTCATTAGGATTATGACTCCAAATACAGGACCGTCATCAAGGGCGGATTTAGACCTCATTTAGGATTTCGTCTACGGGGGGGTTTCAATAAACTAGTAGTCATGGCCGGAAAACAGGTGTTTTGGGATAAACAATTAGGAATTCTCAAAAACTACTTCACCAATCTATTCCAATTTTGTTGTGGTTATTTAGAAGTACGAAACCTACAAATTTGAAGGATCTCTTTAGCCCTACTGAGCGAGGGCCGTGGCAAATGCTTGTTCCGGAAGTTGTTGTATCCAGTATACAATTTCTTCCCGTCCAAGTGATTGTGCACGCGTTAAGGAATACCTCAGTACCGATTGCCGGGTGGCGGTACAAGTCCGCCAACGGGCCACTTTAGGTCTATTTAATATCACTAACACGTAAAAAGAAGGTGGTAGACAAGGACCAGTCGACCGAGGCGGTACCACCCGCTAGCTTTTCCCAGGGTGTCTTATAAATGTCCGCATGTTTCCACACCTAAGCTATGCAGTCGGTTATCTACCAAAACAAAGAAATTAATGATGATGGATCCCTCGAGCACTAAGAACTCCGGACGTAAACTCACTCCACTTTCGGAATGTCCGGGTGGAGGGTGGGCTCGAGGGAACAACATCGAAGATAAAATTTGTTTTTTGAACATCTGCGGGATCAACAGCAATATTGATGCTGTTTATCACTACCTGCAATCCAATCGTCCCGCCGTGCTTTTCTTGGCGGAGACAAAAATCTCAGAGACTGCACCGATTAACCATCTCAACTTCCCAAACTACGAGGTGCACTCCAATCTGAGAAAGAACGGGGGAGTTGTGGCTTTTGTCCGCAGCAGTCTTTCCTGCTCCAGGGATATTTCTTTGGAATCAGACCGGAAGGACATTCTGTGGCTTCGCCTCAACTCCAAAACATCACCCAAATTTGTTTGCTGCCTTTATCGCTCTCCCTCGAACCATAAGTGGGATGACCTACTCGAATACCTCGCCGTCCAGATCGACTTCCTGAACATCAATCACCCCGCTTTAGAGGTAGTTCTTCTCGGTGATTCCAATGCCCATAATGAGCTTTGGTTGGGCTCAAATAAGACCGATGCAGCAGGTCGTGCAGTCGAAGCGTTCGCTCTTACTCAAGGGCTGACCCAGCTGGTGACGAGCCCTACTTTTTTCCCCCGCGTCTCGTCACACGCCAGTAGCCTGCTGAACTCAGATCACGGTGTTGTGGAAGTTAGGTTCCGGTCAGAAGCCGCTGTGGCAGCAGAAACTCGTACAGGCCGCAAAACTTGGCATTACGGACATGCCGACTGGGAGGGGCTCAGAGACTTCTTCTCTAGCTTTCCTTATCCATGTCGGAATGGAGGAATACATCCCTCACACGGTGAAAGTTCCTAAACCAGGGTCCAACGGCTGGTTCAACAAATCGTGTGACACTGCTCACCAGCAGAAGATAAAGGCACACAGAACCGATGACTCTTCTCTAACAAACATTCTCGGGACTCTTTCGCACCGGCGGGCCGTCGGCGATCTAGCTCTTTTCTATCGCTACACCAACGGGCTTTGCTCCTCAGAGCTCTCTTCCATGATGCCGCCGCGCGATGTGCCTGCCAGACAGACCCGCCTGACTTCGGCGTCCCATCCTAACCGTGTCAAACTTCGTACATCCAGAACTGGTCGATACGATCGCTCCTTTGTCCCGAGGGTGTCTAGATTGTGGAACAATCTACTGGAGGAAGCTTTTCCCAGTTCTACTAACCTTAGGCAGTTCAAAAATCGTATAAACAAAATTTCTTTGGGATCATCATAGCAGCCGCGGTGTTCCAGCATTTCTGCCTGCGCGGCTGTTTCGATATAAAAAAAAATCTCAAATATCTGCGAGAAATCATCGTCACAACAAGAGCTAAAACCTGCAGTTTGCCTCGGTTTCCGGCCATACGTTTTTTGCTATTAGTCGGATCTTTTTACGTGTGGTCTCATTTTGTAGGTCTCATATATAAAATCTTATATGAAGAGGTTTTTCGTTCCTGTCAGTACTTTCGAAGGAATCCCAAAAACACGTTTTCTCATTCTTTGTTGTCGAATAAAAAGACTATACAATTATTTCCCGAACCAGGGGTATTTTTATCTAATATGATTAGACTAATAGTGTTTCGCTGCAACACCAACTCCGAACAAAATCAGTCAAGCTTCACACACTTTTGAAATTACTATTGAGTAACAAACAGAACATAAATCACTTTTTAAGTGCAATCTGTATAGCTAATATATTGCTTAGACTTAGATTTGTCACAAGTCACAATACTCGAATATACGTATAAATCGTAAGAATTAATAATCGCAAGTGATGTCGAAGAGGGCGTTTGGAATACCAAATGATACCAAAAAATCGCAATGTTCAGTTCCTATAGCTATAACTTATAGTTAGTATGCATCTGTTGCCATGATGTGTCAGAAAGCAACACAATGGTGTAAGATTACAAAAGCAAGTGTCAGACGTGTAGGGGGGCGCGCGCCCCCTCTAAATCCGCCACTGACCGTAATCGGATATTCTTAACTCTTTAGGTACTCGGGTACTATTATACGGGTTGTTAGGCAAGGAGGTACTTCTATCTCTTTTAACACACGTATTGCACGCTTCTCTATCGTACACATTACGTCAGTGATATTTGGTTTTCAGTGTAGAGTTTTGGCATTTGTACCTTCTCCCAAAAGAATTTGGGATAGGTAACATACAATGTTTGTTGTTGACGGTTGATATGTTACCGGCAATCTGTATAATTCGGTATTCTATACAATACCTGGGTAATGTATAGAATACCTAAAACGTGTAGGTAATGTATGTAAAAGACGAGAGCAAGGCACGGGTTTTGCTCAAGGAGAAGGGGTGGCTTCCAGCAATATCATCTGCAAAACAGCTACGAGGCAGATACAAAGCGAAACCGAAGGTGTGTGTGACTAAAAATATCTTGTTAATATGACTTTTTCTAATAATAATATGCCATGATCAAATATTTCGAATTGCCATTTTACATCATGTTTGTTTTATTCCCGTAAACAACAAATTTATTAGGAGCTTCTCTGTATAACAATAAACAAGGTTTACTAGAGCATTTGTAATCATGCGCGATAAAAATTCAAATTTTGGAACGGTATAAATATGATTCAGCCGAACACCGCTTGGCGGTGAGCTTGACCGATGTTCAGGCTCCATGCGTGTTCGCCGTTTGGCAATGGTTCGGCCATTTTGTTTTATAATTCTATGAGTTTGATCGAAATCACGATGGCTTCGTCGTCTTTAACGTGGATTGTGGTGCAATTCAGTAAGGATGATGGTATTGCCACATAGTCAATAAGGCTTAGATGACATCCAGGAAACAAGAAGTGTTTTGGCCTCCTGTGAAAAAGCAAAGCGTTATTGATAAATTGCTACAAGCAAATTCAACCATCGGAGGACTGAAACGTGTCTGATATCAAACAGTGTTTTTTAGTTCTTTATTAACGACTTCAACACACTTTGTACAAATGCTCTTGAAAAATTGCTGAGGTTATATCGACTTGTCGGAACCAGAATTTTCAAGAGGGGTAGACAGGTAGAATATGAGTTTTGGAGCCTTTCTATCAATCCTGAACTCACTGCTTATGGGGCGTTGTTGTCGCATCCTCAATTTTTCAGGAGCATTTGGACATCATAACGACGTAACATATATACGTCATAGCGACCTCAGATATACGTCATATACACGTCATACAGACTTCATATCGTCTTTGTATTTGGTCTTTTATATGGCATACTATGACGTTATATAATGATGTTAATTGTGTGTGACATTAGACCGTCATAATGCCGTAATTTCTAAGTCATTTTTGTTGGTCGGCATACGACAGTAGTGCCCTAAACTGCCGACATTATGACGTCACTATGTTCACTGGGATACGTGTGGGAGGTCTCGCACGTTTCACGATTCAGGTCTAGCAAGGAAATTTTCACACTAAGATACAGCAGTACATAGCGTTTTCTTGGAAAAAATAATGGCAGACTTGGGGGTCTAGGGGGTCTCCAAATCCGTAAATGGTGAGTGGCCAGAGGGCCCGCTACCCCTGGCACGCCTTACGTAGGCATAGCACCCGCCTACGTATCGGACCTATAGCGTCAGTTTATCAACAAGGCAACCAGTTGCTTCAGAACTGACAAAGAGCGGAATAGATCTTTCGAGATTGCCGATGGTACACAACTGCGCTCAGTGCGATGCAGATCGATCGACGCGTACCTTTAGGGTGAGGTTACTTTAGATGCAAGTCCGTGCGTTTTTTAAGTCGTATGTGCTCGGACGAAATTCAGCTGGACGACTAAACTGGTTACATTACATGCGTGAGTAACGAGGGCAGTTCGTAGTTTGAAGTGTTAACAAAATGAATGCTACTTCTCTGCTATTGTTTGAAAATAGTATGCTAAAATATCTCATCGCGGAAAAGAAAAGAAAATATTGGATCAGCGATTTGTATAAAACCAGGAAGAACGAAGGTGAATATGTCAGGCTGTTCCAGGAATTAAAACAGCAGCCATCAAAATTTTTTGAATATTTTAGAATGTCAGCATTGACATTTGACTACATTCTGAACAAAATTGAAAAGAGAATTGAAAAACATTCTAACTTCCGGGAATGCATTGAGCCAAGGGAAAGATTGTCTATAACTCTAAGGCAGGTATTTATTAAAAATAAACTTTTTATTTATATAATTTTATAACATTTATTGGAAAGTATGAAAATGTGTTTGAACGTTCTTAGTACTTAGGGTGGTTGGACACATTTGATTTGTATTATTACCAGATACAGTATTAGTTGAAAACTGATACGAAGATGGTGAAGGAAGCGATGTAGCGACAAGATTTTGAGCAGCATTTCTTGTTCAGTTATAAATAGTTGCTGGATTTTAAGTCGCATGTACATATTTCTCAGAGGTGGTAGGCTCTTCATTTGTGGTAAAAGGCTCATCAGAAACATATAATCGCTGTCGTTGTTATAATGATTATTGTCATTTGTAGAGCTCATTGCAGATAACTTTGCCATTTTTTTCTCTTCTAAAGCTAACAGCCGATCATACATAGTTGTTTCTTTCTTTTTTTTTGACTTAAAAATAATTTTCTCTTCATTGACTCTTTTTTGGGCTTTAGGTGTGCGGAAATTTTCATTCTCTTCATCTTTATCTCGTTCATTTCCTTCATCATCATGCTCTTCTTCTGTGTTTACATCAGAACTATTACATTCATCAAAATCTGTATTCCTCGGAGAGTGTATTGCACTACTCTGTTCTGTCATTTGAATATTACCACTTGAAGATCTATTTGTCCTCGAGTCCGTTAAAAATAACATAGCATCAAAATAAGCCCATTTAGTTTTTTCCGCCTTCGTCTCCTAAACGACCTCTTGACACTTTATTCAATTCTTTGCGAAAATTATCTCTGAGGCTTCTCCATTTACTTTTTACTTCTGCACCTGCAAAAACGACTATAGTAAAGCTCCATTTATCAAAATAATAATTTTCATAGTAACTATACGCAACACCTAAATAGATTTTTAATATTTTCAGATACTTGTCAACTGGAATGCCATTTCGTTCATTGGCATTTTTATTCAGAATGGCACACACGACTATAAGAAAAATAGTCTATGAAGTATGTCAAGCTATATGGGAGGAAATGAATCAGGAACACATGCCATATCCAACAGTTGAAAGACATCTCTCAATAGCTAATGATTTCTTCTTGAAATGGAATTTTCCAAATTGTATTGGTTGTATTGATGGTAAACACATAAGAATCCGTTGTCCACCGAATTCGGGCTCCATGTTTTGGAATTACAAACATTTCTATTCCATTGTGCTTCAAGCAGTATCTGACGCTAATGGAAGATTTCTGTATATTGACGTTGGCAGTTACGGCAAACAGAGCGATGGAGGAATCTTTTCAGCTAGTTCTTTAATGTATCACTTGGAAAATGCAAGCTTTAATGTTCCACATAAGAGAAAGATTCCGGGCACAGACGTGCTTGCTCCACTTGTCCTGTTAGGTGATGAAGCTTACCCTCTAAAAGTCTATTTAATGAGGCCATATTCTGGTAGAGGGCTGGATGAACAAAGAGAAGTTTGCAATTATCGATTATCACGAGCACGAATTTTTGAATGTGCTTTCGGAATTTTATGTGCTAAATGGAGGATTCTCAAAAAGAAATTGAATGTCACCCAGATAAAGCTGAAGTTATTGTAAAAACTACATGCCTTCTTCACAACACAATCATCGATAGAGAAGGATTTAGCAGCGAGATCAATATTCAAAGAAATACTCCTGCAACTGAGATTAATAATCTTCCTCCTTCAAGAAGAAACAACCATTCTACAGATGCAGCTTGCAATACACGGGAGATATTCAAAAATTATTTCAATGATCCAACTGGTTCAGTGTCATTCCAGTATGTTTGCAATACAAATAACAGCAATAAATAAACAATTTTTAAACATGTTTTTTTTTTAGAAATATCATTAACTGAAGGTATGCGTAATATTCAAAAATCAATGTGAGTTTAATGAAATACTTCGATTATAATTATATTTGCACTTACTTGTATACTTCATCTCCGTAGCAACTTCATCCCAAAGTTTTTTTACTAGAGTCCTATTATGATAGTCTTTGGATTTTTGATCCCACGACGCATTTCGTCTTTGTTTTTTTGATACTCCAACTGCCACGAAGGCCTAAGGCCTAAGCACCCATTACCCATTGGGTACCGTGGGGCTATGGGGGATACATGGGAAAGGGAGGACGCCACACGGACTCTGGCGAGGGAACACGTGTGCATGCAACATGCACACATTCTGGCTCCGCCTACGAGAACCGCCGGGTGGTACCTCCACGTTCGACAGTCAGAGACCATCTACCACCTACGGACAATCACAACATCCATGGCCAAGAGAAACATTTCTCCTGGGACGGGACTCGAACCCGCACAGCGCACGGCGGCTGATCAGGAGACCGAAGAGTCTACTACTGCGGCCACCGCTGCTGCCTAAAACAAACACACAACATCCATGGCGAAGGCGAGATTCGAACTCGCGGCCCGGCCGGCCGGCTGATCAGTAGCACGACACTCTGACCCACGCGGCCAACCGAGGTCCCGTGTACAAAAGTTATCAATTTTTCATTATCCATTTTGCAACTTGGAAATTGTCAATAGATATTTTTATATCTGCATATACTTCTCCGTGCACGCATGAAAAATCAAACCAGTTTGATTTCGTCCGACCTCCGGATAAAGACGTACGTACTCCGACGTACAAGCTCAGACCAGTGTAACCACACGTGTTGGGTAGAACGCGTATGATTTTCGCTGCGAGCACGTCCGCGCGCGTACGACTTAAAAATCGTATGTACTCGCATCCAATGTAACCGCCCGCTTATCCAACCTGTCGCGCCTACAAAAAGCTGTCAACCATGTCGATTTTTTCCAGAATATTTTTGTTGTCTTATCTATTGTATTGTGATAACTCACAAGGGAAAACCACTCGATGATGACTTGTTACAAGAAATATTTATTGACATGTTGGTAACCGCTGAGTTTTCCTTTCACAAATATCGTGATCGTAGTATCACAGATCGATTTATTTGATCCGTCAGTCTATAATGTACGCACCGACGGCCTCTTCAGATCGGCTTATCAATCAGACACACTCACGAATGACCTTTGATTCATTTGACGCCGCATTCAGTGGCAGGACTGATTTCTTTGCTAGCTGGAAATAACAAATCGAGAAGCATTATCAGATTTATTTAAAGGATTATAAAACGACAGCCGCGAAATTCTTAGAATAATAGTTTTTACTTCCTCTCATCACGTTATATATTAGCTCCTGGTTTGTGTTTTCACATACTTAATTACATACTTAAATCTTTATATATACGACCGAGGGTAAAAGTATACCTAATCACTAGATTCTCTGGGTCTTAGTTTTTAGTTCACGGGCCCACTTTATGCAATAGGTAAGACTTTAATACCAGCTATTTATATGTTACTGTGAAAGTCCGAAATTAGTGAATGTCGACATTCCGGCACGGGTATTATGTAAAAAACCTATAAAACGTAAAATACCTATAAAATGTCATCTTGCAGACTACGTAGTTTTTATTGTGCAAACAGTCATTCCACGTTTGCTCACTAGGATTTTTGTGAGCGTCCATCTATGGAGGAATGACTCAACTAAACTACACGCATTGTTGGTTGCATATGTTTGGTGAAACCGAGTAATCTGTAGTTTTTGTCTATGAGAAGCAAGTTGGTTGGATAGCAAGATCGCATCTGGATGATATGTGTATTGGTCTGCATGTGCATAAAATCAGTGATATTTGCTGTGTGAGAAAATCATTACTGAATATGCTTCCAATGAAGTATATCTATTAGCTGTGCCCGACAGGTTTTTTGTGTTGTGTGCTTTTTGAAGAGAGGTTATGTAAAGTTATAAATTACGAAGAACTTTGAGGAGAATTACGGGAAATCACCATCGCGCCCGCGTTGTCTGTAATTACTGTTGGCATCTATATGGCTTGTAATTCGACAGTGTACAATGAACAAAATTATTTCTTATCTCTCTCGTTTTTGAAATTTAGCAAATCTAGTAAGTAGTATTTGAGACAAGAATCCAAGGAAATTATCATCAACACATACGACTTACAGCTTAGACCTCCAGTAATGCCATCTCTGAAGCAGATTTTACATCACATCAGAGCCAAACATTGATAACTGAAGCCTCATGACGTTTAGGCAACACGTACAACTGAGTGCTAAGCTAAAATCTTTATTTATTTTATTTTATTTATTTATTTACTAGTATATACACTATCCGAACGGTTTATTACACCATTTAACGGATAAGGACACAGGAATCAATTTTAAGATAAAATTGTTCTAGAATAACTTAACATTGCCAAATGACTTAACCTTGTAGAAAATCTTGTAGAAAAACCGGCATTATGTCACTTTTCAGGATACGTAATACCCCTGCCGGTGAGTGTCGACATACACCAAATGGTCTGGTGAAAGACCGAACATTTATAAATATCATTATAGTTTCGGAGAATCACTGGTGTACGAGTATGTTGACAAAAACAGCATACACCAAAAGCGTATGGTGAATGTTGACATTCTCCAAAGTATGCCAGAAATAATATTTAACCAATAATTCGGATATACGCCGAGCAACTTGGTGAATGTCGACATTTACTGGTCGATCCCGACATTCTCCGGATTTCGGACTTTCACAGTATACATTAGATATCTTATGAATCCGGCAACCTCCCAGAAAACTGGAAATTTGCTCATGTCCAACCCAGCCCAAAAAAGGGATCTAAGACCGACCCTGACAACTACAGGCCTATAGCTCTGCTTTCTGTTTTAAGTAAGGTGATGGAGAGGTGCATAAATCGCGAGCTTCTGGACTACCTCGAACGTCACGGCTTGATTAGCGACAGGCAGTATGGTTTCCGGCACCAACGATCCACAGGGGACCTCCTAGCTTACGTCACTCAGTTGTGGAGTAAACTCATCCAGTTTTATGGTGAGGCTCATGTCGTTGCTCTTGACATCACGAAAGCGTTCGATCAGCTGTGGCACGCTGCCCTCTTAAGCAAACTTCCATCCTATGGCCTCCCAGAAAAGCTTTGCAGATGACTGGCTGACTTTATCTCTGACCGCAAGATATCCGTCGTAATTGACGGGTTCTCCTCTTCATCCCACGACGTCAACGCGGGTGTTCCCCAGGGATCGGTCTTGGCTCCGACACTGTTTCTCTTACATATCAACGACCTCCTTTCCTGCACGATCAACCCAATCCACAGCTTTGCTGATGACAGCACTCTACATGCAGGAATTCAGAGTAACAAGCCGATCTCTGCCGCTGAGTTGAAAAAAAGAACACTGCGATGACTTCTTCTCTGACAAGAGACCTGGAGGCTATCACTGCTTGGGGACGCAACAATCTTGTACAGTTCAATTCTTCCAAAACGCAGTACGGTACTTTGACGAACAAAAAGCGTCCCTGTGCTCACCCGGTTTCGATGGATGGTCGAGTTCTGCCAAAGAGCCATTCATTTCGGCTGGTCGGAGTCCAGATCACCGAGGACCTGATCTGGCACGAACACATCTCGTCAATAGCTGCAGCTGCTGGAAAAAAGCTAGGCTATTTGTTTAGGGCTAAGAAGTACTTTTCTCCGCATGACCTTCTCACTCGATACGACCGCGGCTGCTTCGATATAAAAAAAGTAACTATGTATGTACTCGTACTTGTATACCTACCTTATTTTTCATGCCATGAGACATAACAGCCTTCTTCACCGTCTAGGTACATAAATTACCTTTTTAGATTTCCAAACAGCTACTGTTTAGGTAGTTGTTTGGGAAATTTAAGAATAGATGAAACATCACGTGTGAAATCCTGAGTCAGTCTACCTACTTGGAATTATTTTTTTGATACATGAAAATGATATGGGAATGAAGTGGTGACTCTAGCGTTCTAGTCATGATTTTTGTGGTTTGTAGATGGTATATATATATATGGGTCGCGTGATTTTGAACTACCTCTAAACCAGTAGCGGCCTTCTGTTTGTGTATTATACAGGAATCAAGTAGATCATATCGGTATTAATTTAAAATGAAATATTGAAATCCACATAATCACGAAATTATTGCGTGCTCAAAAAAAAGGTTTAACTCAAATGGAAGATAATTTAAGCCTAAATAACTGCGACTTCTTCATTTTTCTCGCTAGAACCAAGAATTTCTAATATGTGTGATAATAGTCCAGTACATGGACATTTTTGACGTAACCTAACCTTTAACTTGGCAAAAACTTTCGGATCCTGCCGTAGGCAAGAACTGAAACATTTTTCTAAGACTTTTTGATTGTTTTGTTACGGTGATGCAAATGTTATTTATAGAAAACAGTTGTTAAGACAACTTTGTCACTCGATAAATAAGCTTCAAAAATAGTATTTACGATATTTCCATATCTATCTTCGTTTATGAGGTTATTCCAATTCTCATAGAGTTCAGGCCATACATAAATAAAAATATCATATGCGGGATTTCTGAGCCATCTGACCCGTAATTAACGACAATTACAAAAGGTGCATAGAAAAGGTTGCGTTTTAACGTGTATGTATTAAAATTGACCCAAGAAAATTATCATAGCAAAAAACTCTTTTAGATTGTTATTTTCCATTTGTTGTAGAATACTGTACTGAAGAGCAAACATATCTACTTTCTAGAAAAGAAAATAAAGCACAAACAAGTTAAAGTTTTTTTTAGATATTAGTTTAAAGCAAATTTTTTTGACATTATTTGTATTTAACCATATTTTGAAGAGGAGCAAATATAAAACCTCAATTATAATAGCACGAGGAGTTAAAAGTGTACTTCATTGAAGGCGCTAGTCAGTTTTCGTTATACGTTATTTAAATAATATTTATATTTCATGGACAAGTACAAAAATGACAATATTTTTGTAAAAACCGTAAACATTTTCTGAACAATTTCGTATGATAATTTGACGACTTACATGCTTAATAACAGTTTCTGAAAATAGTGTGCCTGCTCAGATTGTATGTGTAGCACATGTAAAAATAAAAAGAATATGCAAAGTTGCAGAAAAAACATGGGGTTTGGAGTCAAAAACGATGCCATCGATAATGCAACCCGAAAAATAATTACCGGTTTTGAAAGCTAGCGGCTGTCAGTTATTTTGGTGCAGTGGTTGAACATCTTCCTTGTAGAGCTCAATTTCTATCACCAGCGACTATATTTTTCCTTTCCAAGTTTTGTAGACTGTAAGATCTCCTATGGTCAAATGACATTTATTCAGCGTCAAAATATAAACAACTGCTCGGGCGCATACCTCTCCTGCTCACATTGACATTGTTGCGAGTCCAGCTACCGGCCAATAGTATCGCAAGAATTTGATGATTTAGATACCCTATTTGATTTAACGCAGCATAAATGACATTTGAATAGAGTTTACCGATTCCAAATCGCCAACCCTTGAGTTAGACTTGAAGAGCGTGCTTTTGATAAAACTATTTCAAATCGCTTTATCAACATTTGCATAGATATATCAAACGGTAAACTTTCCGTGACAATCATAACGCTTTCTTGTACTCAGATGTACGCATATTTACGAAACAACTTTCAGCAAGCTACAAAACTTTTTTCTATCTATAATATTTACAGGCCGTAACAAAGAAAAGAAAAACCAACGTTTTTCAAATAGTTTCAGGATTTGCCTACCGCAGGGTCCGGAACTCTTCGTTATGGCAAAGGCGACTATTTAACTTACCTATATACGTATACATCCAAATTTTCGTCTATTATAGAATGTTGGCATTGTTTTTGGGAACATTTGACGAAATCCCACGATTAAGTTCCTCTATAGGCTCTTGCCATTATAAGAGATTTCACATATAAAATGATACCGTATTCTAAAAACAGTTTTTAAGACATTAAGACACAAAAAGTTGCACCAATATGCTTATTGTCCTTCCATCAATATCCGTTCGGGGGTTGCTGATGTAATCCATCGCGGTAGAGACCATGAAAAATCTTAAAACGTTTACCCCAAAATTAAAATTCTCGAGATTGTCACGTCCACTATTTGCCACTTCGTGCGAATGTGCAGTGGATGGCGTTTCTCTAAAATAGCGTTAAAGTAGTCTGTTTCTGTACCTTTATAGTATACGTATATCTCAATTATTGCAATTTTTTGAAGGTTTCAAATTTTTTTGAGAGATCTATTATTCAAGGATGCAGTCAAAATCAACCTGCTTGATACCATTTTATATTTTACGATCGTACCAATAGGTCTGCGCATTCCCTAAAGGCTTGCCTTGTGATACGCCAATGTCAGTACCACTTTATCTGTCGTGAACTTTTTAAAAACCACTATCTCTCCGCACTCCTTTCCTAACCTCAAACTGTGCGTTCATCTAGTTTTTGGTGCAGTATGGCCGGCGTCGTTTGTATACACACGATCTCAGTGTTCGAAAGGTCCAGGATTTATGTGTTGTCCGTCGTGTTCGGTGTGTGGGTGGTGTTCAAACGGTTCCTCAAGTGGATCTGGAACCCCAAGGCGCTCAACTCCATGCAACTCAGGGATAACCCTCCAGCTTGTCTCGTCGATTCGTCCTTCGGACAACATAAATATGTCAAACTCAAGGTCAGCAGTAGTTTCTGCTGTTTTGTTAAGATTAGGCGCACAAGTCTAGTCTATAAATTTACAAACATATCTCATATCCAGAAAAAAAGAACAGATGTTATAACACATCTTGCTTAATGACTAAAAACATTTTGAGCATGTTGGATTAACCTTTAATATAGATAGTTTGTCGATGACCGAAGAGGTACTACTCTGTGGATCACATTCACGCATCTTTCTCTATCGTAGAAATCGCGCGTCGTGTCTTCATGTAGTCAAACGGTTTTCACAGACATTTAGATATTTTCATGGTGGCTAAATGAATGAAATCGTATCAAGTGTAATCCTAAACAAGTAAAACAAAAATAATTCAGGTACCTCGGGTACTTCGATGCATTAATATAAATCTATTCAAAATTTAAGGTACATGAAACTCCTAAGCATCATCGGTGCTATGCCAAACACGAGAATTAACTGCAGAAAAGCTTTTCGACTTGGTCATCAAAATCTGACCGTATTTAAAAGATATAGAGAGGCCAGATTACCAGGCAGACAGAAAACGACATACAGTCTAATCCCTACAAACGTTTACTTTTCCATCTCCATTTACACGTGGTAAACCTAGAATGTGATATTGTAGAAATACACACTCCATTCAATACTTCGTCTGTGGTGGAAGGAGAAATGTCAAGCTAACTATCAACGTCTTGAATTTTCAAAAAGGTCGCATTTTTCTTTCAGACCAAAAAATTAAACATAATCATTATACCAGATACAAAATTCGTGGCACAGTAGTTCCTCAACCGCATAAATCTATAATGCAGCGATCATAGGTATCTCTATTTAGTGCCTAAATTTTATGAAATTATACCTAAAGACTTAAAAGATTTACGTTTCGGAAATTGTTTCAAAAGAAATTTAAAAAAGTGGCTACATTCTATATCTAGGACTGAAATTCATGAACTCATAAATACGAACATCAACTAAATACATAATCTACTGTAGCTAATTTTTGTCATTTTTTGTCATTTGCATTCTACAGTTTCAACTTAAATTTATTGGTCCATGTACAGGCGATGCCTTCTATTGGGCCTGTTTTGATTTTATATTTATTTACTCATATTGTTTGTTATCTTTGTACATTGAGTGAATAAATATTATTATTATCATTATTATAATATTTATATGTATAATATATAATAATATGTATAAAAAAGCGTCAGGCATTGGTTTCAAAAATATTATATCATTTACAGTCTTTCTTACTATTGCGTATGGTGTCTCGAATCCTAACAAATACGCAGAACTTACGACAATTCCATCAGCGCCATTAGTTCGCAATTAAACTACTTACAGTCGATGGTTTTAGATATTAGTTATTAAAAAATACTCCTCAATCAGACCTGACCCGTCTCAATTTTCTCAGACTAAACATACCCTTATTCCTTTCTTAATAATCGCAGACGTAGAGACAATTTAAAATGCAAGAACAATTAATTATTCCTTCTTATATGTTTTTTAGATAATTGCAAATGTTACCCTTCATATTTCGATCATGCCTCTTAGGTTACCTGTATAACTGAAAGATATCAGACAAATCAGTTCATTAAATTTTCTTATACGTTTTTCTTACACCGAAGCAGCCGCGCGCCTCCCCAAAGAAATTTTGTCAATCCAATGTTTCAGCTGCCTAAGGTTAGTAAGAACTGAGAAAAGCCTCCTCTTGTAGATAGTTTCACAATCTCGACACCCTCTGGACAAAGGAGTGGTCGTATCGGCCAGTTATAGATGTGCGAAGTTCGATACGGTTAGGATGGGAGGCCGAAGTCAGACGGGTCTGTCTGGCACGGTCATCGCGCTATGGCATCAAGGAGCTCTGGGTAGCAAAGTGGAAGAAGAGAGCTAGATCGCCTACGGCCGCCTGCACGAAAGGGTTCCAAGGCTGTCTGTTAGAGAAGAGACATCGATCAGCCGGACGGCTCTCCTCTGGACAGCACCGAGCATGAATGGTTAAGCCAGTGCTGCAGCACCCCAAATTGGCTAGGTCTTATCTGGGCCTTGTATAGAGTGAGGAGGTTATGTGGAGAAAACTACTGCTTAGCTCTAAACAAATAGCCTAGTCCTCGGTGATCTGGACTCCGAAATGAACGGCTCTTTGTCAGAACTTGGCCATCCACCGATACCTAGGGCTAGGACGCCTTTTTTTTGGAAGCATTAAACTGTAGCGTCCCCAAGCAGTAATAACCTCCAGGTTTCTCGTCAGAGAAGAAGACGCTGATAGTCTTCTTTTTTCGGAATTTCTGCATGTAGAGTGCTGTCATCAGCAAAGCTGTGAATTGGATTGATCGTACAGGAAACGAGGTCATTGATATGTAAGAGCAACAGTGTCGGAGCCAAGACCGATCCCTGGGGAACACCCGCGTTGACGTAGTGAGATGATATATATAAACAAAAAATAGGAAAACAATGGTCAAAATCGGCAAAAAGAAGGAAGTGGATTCGAGAAGAAAATAGGATAGGTAACCCGAGCAATACGTATTTCTGCTTGTTGGCTTTATCAGGCCCGAAATGAATGCACATATGCAACCACAAAAGTAGATACACATGCCCATACATAAGGGTACGGGTGTAACCTGAGAAAACGAAGATGGAGAGTGAAAAAAATGACACACGAAGTCTCCAACAAGAGCCAACCTACATATTGTACTATAAAATGGCTAGAAGACCTCGAATCTTCAAGGCGACATCTAACCACAACCACGCGGCCGGTTATAGCCACTTGCTGTGGTACTTCAAGCCCAAAGGAGAGAAAATGATCATGCGGAGATATCCGTCAATTATGACGGACATCTTGAGGTCAGAGAGAAAGACAGCCACCCATCTGCAAAGCTTTCTGGGAGGCCATAGGCTGGAGATTTGTTTAAGAGGGCAGTGTGCCACAGCTGATCGAACGCTTTCGTGATAACAAGAGCTTTGTTGATGTTGAGCACCCATCTTACGGTATTATGCCTGAATGTTACTTCCCGCAAAGTGTAGGGAACCTTTTGAATCGACGGCACTCGGGCGCTGGGTGGGGACGTCCCTGGTGGAGTTGGCAGCAAACATCCTGGCGGGTCTTAATTACAGCTGACGCTTTCGAGTATTTGCCTAATGGCAGTGTGAAAATCTTGGAAGTAGATGATCCATTACATCATTTTGGTTCATTTTCCATGCCAAATGGGGAGGAAGTGTAACTGAGAAGACATCCGAAAATGCGATAGTATGTTTTTTAGATGTTAAATAATATAATATAACTTGAAAGAAAGTACTAGACTAAGCCGACAATGAAAAAATCTTTGTTTATATTGAAAGTCGATCCAGTGATTGCGAAGCTACAGGCAAAAAAGAGGAAAAAAAAACAAAAATCTTTCTAAACCCATTTTTGACGTTTCAGAGCCGCCTGATTATTTCTTAGAAAACCTTTTTTGTAGTGGTTAAAAATTTGGGGTTGTAGGCGAGGGTATTTCAATTTTTTGGCGTTAGTACATTTATACGTTTCCAAAACAGGTACCTAATTGTCATTTGCCCTTAAAACTGATGATAGTCAAATATTTTTAACGCAACGCGGCGAACCGTACCTGAAGAGTCAACCTACAGTCCTTTCACTGAAACAAAACAGTTACGACATATTTAGTAAATTTGAAAGCCAACCTTACTGCAAAATAGATCCTAAATTTGTTCGTATGGTTTGAATTTCCCGGGTGCATTTATGTTGGTAACAGTTGTCAGTGTTGTGACATTGTCGCAAAGCTTGTCAGGTAATTACGTCAAGGGATGTTGTTCGTTTGTGGTTTATTTTCGATCTTTTTGCCTCAATATTTGCATTGTTATTTTATAAACAATTATTCAAAACTTTGAGGTGTCCTTTTGGGCGTTTTGCTAAAATGCCAAAAACTTTGGGTCGACAAGCAAAAAAATTTGTCATTTCTTTGATGAAGTATTTTGAGACCGAACGATAACATGGAGCTCCATTATTGCCTTTACAGTCCGTAAGAGAGGTATTAGCTAGTAAATAGAATTTATTTATTTATTAATATACGTATTTTCTTAGCAGCGTGTCGCTGATCCATTGAAAATAAATTTGTCAACGGTAAATAGGTTATCTTCTATATGCAAAGCTGGTAAAGTACCTGAATCCCCAAAGAAAAATCGTCCTCACAAGAAGACTATCACTACATTGACTTTATCCATATGTATAAACAAAGTGAGTTTTTAATTTTCAGCGTTTACAAAATATACGCTCTGTAATGTTGGTTGCGTTAAGGCATCGAAGACATAAAGTAGATTTTGTAAAACGACCTAGGATCTAGTAGTTTAAATTAATGTTTCAACCATGTGCGTCACTGTCATTACTTGACATTTTGTCGTAACTGCTTTGATTCAGTGAATATACTATAGTATATTCCCCGCAATTAATTAAATACTCATTACGTTAACCGTGCATATAGCGAGAGACATAACACACAGATACTACAGACTGAACTATGTATCGTTTTGTGATAATAACGTTAGTCATGCTATTATACGGCTATTATATGCAGGGTAACAGCAAAATTCAAGGTCTTTGACCACGACTTATATTATTAAGGAAATCTTGTAAAAAAACAGTGAAGAAGATATGTTATAACTATTCTGAAATTAATTGATTGATAAGATACTTCCTGCACTGCATTGCCTCAGAGATACAGAATTCTATCAGATCATTGCTTCTATCAGACGAAGATTGGCATTGACAGATATAGTGTAAATTTAAGCTCAATTTTGAATAAAGAATATAGAAAGCAAGCTAACAGTTCCTGTCTTCTTGAACTGCTTCTGTTGAAATATAATATACTAGGTGACATATAAAATGCAACACCCAGAATTATTTTTTAAATTTTGTTAGGAACTTTGTCAACATATTTGCTATCATGAAAATATACGCTGATAAAACGTTGAAGGCATTCCGAGCCGTATTTCTTTGTAAAGCCTTTTTTGTCATA